TTTTGACATTACAAAACCATACAGGCTGGGTGATATATATATATATATATATAATATTCTCTTACAATGGTACCCAACCTATTACACAACTATATATCAGAAAGTCAATGAAAAATACCTTTACTAATAAAATATTTTAAAAACTTTAAACTTGGATTGGGCACATTCAAAACCAAGATTTGGCAAACTAATTTTGAAACAGTACAATAGCACACATAGCCTACTGCAATGGTTTTTCAGGGATTTTTTTTTTTTTTTTTTTTTTTTTTTGCTTGTGGTCCATAATAAGAAATACATTTGACATTGCAACCTGGCACACACACACAGAACTGAAACAAAAGTTTCATGGAACAATATTTACCCTCACGTAATGTATTCATTCTATTTTCTGTTCTTTTCTATTTCATTTTTTAAAATTGCTTGTCAAGACCCACTGAATTGATTTCACAATCCACTAATGTGTCGCAAACCAAGATTTAAAAACACCAGCCTAAACAATAATATATATTGTGGCTCTTAAGTAGTATTGCTATAATAAAATAATATTGACACTAAGTGCAAAGTATTCTATAAGGCACATTGTACCAATTAAATCCAAGACAGTTATTGTCTTTCAACCTTATGGGAAACACAATTATAAATGAAAAACAAATGTCTTTTGCTGTTTTATGGCATTTAGAACATTTTAGAAGACTTACACTTAAATATCTGGGGAAATATATTTCTAACAAAATAAATCAATGCTGTCATAATCCTCCAAGAATCCAAAAGTTCCATGGACGTGCTAGGCCCTCACAATGATGGGTCGAGTAATTTTCCATTTCTAGAACTCGGTGTTGGCAGTGAGAAATGTAGAGAGCAAACCATGTCAGTCCTGAATCATGTTTGCACCCTCAGGGACCAATTATACAGCTCGTTCCTTCTTTATAGAAGGAGAAAATGGCCCCATTCCATCTCTACAGTAGAGACCAGCGATTTCAGACATCTTTGAAGTACAAGGCAGCAACACACACAATTAGGTGTTTAACAAATGCCTCTTCACACTGGCAATAATTATAACAGAAGGGGAAGCAACCGGGTTCCTGCGAGGGGAAGGCCAGGGGCGTAAATAACTCGAATCCTTGCTCTCCTCTGGTCCTGGAGCACAGCAGGATGGCAAGCAATGGGACCTTTTTTTTTTTTTCATCAAGTTACTTGTAAGATGTTTAAGAAAATGTTTTGCCTAAGCAGAGCAATAACTTAGGTTCTGGAATTTGAGATCAAAATAATGGCCATTCCTATTTTCCCAGCCATCTACCCACCTCCAGGAATGCACTTGTCATGATGAGCCCCAGGTGGTGGATAGAAGTGTTGAATCACTATATTGTACACCTGAAACTAATATAGCACTGTATGTTACCAATATTGGAATTAAAATAAAATTTTTTAAAAAGAACAGAAAAAAAAATAACCGCTCCTCAGGTCTTTCTATAACCACCCTTTCCTTCTTACAAGTTGGCCAAGCAACACTTCAAGTGTTTCTAGCTAGAAACCATGTGTTAGGTCTCCTGCTGTGGGAGACAAGTAAGAGGCTATTAGAAGTAGCTAGCAGCCCCAGACGGTCCCAAAGTCACATTTCACCATGTTTCTGGTTCCTACAAGGTAGGAGAGGGAGAAGAGGGATACATTTTGCTTTTTTAACAGGAGCTCTTTCTGCTTACATTGCTATGATGTAAAAATATTGTGTATTCCCTTCAACACCTGGGCCAGTGCCTTCATAATACCTATCATGTATTAAATGCTGTAGTATGACCTGTGTGTATGCGTGTGCGTGCACATTTGGAAAGAGAAACACACAAAGAGAGACAGAGATGAAGACAGAGACCAAGGGAGATCTTCAGTGATGTATCCAATGAAGTAGCCTATTTCTACATTCACATTTTTTCCGGGGCGCCTGGGTGGCTAAGTTGGTTAAGTGACATTTTTTCGGTAATGTAACTTGTTCAATAGGTCACGACTGGCTACTAAAAGAGCCGGGTTTTAAATCTAAATCAGTATAACGTCAAAACTCCTGCTTTTCTCATACGTCTGGACTCAACTTACTTTTCCAGTTATCTTTATTTTTTTTGTAGGCTGTATTTTTTTAGAGCAGTTTGGGTTTATGGAAAACTTGAGCAGGAATTACAGAGAGTTCACATATATTCCCTCCCCCTCCCCTCCACCATCGGTTTCTACTATTACTACCATCTTGAGTTGGTGTGGTACATTTGTTACAATCGATCCACCCATATTGATACATTATTAACAAAAGTGCACAGCTTACATTATGGTCCACTCTTCCTTTTACACATTCTGTGGGTTTTTCCAAATGCATAATGTCAGGTATCCATGTACAGTATCATGCAGAATATCTTCATTGCCCTAAAAACATCCTGTGCTCCATCTATTCATCTCTCTCCCCTCCCCTCATTCCCTCCAACTACTGATCTTTTTAGTTTTGTCTTTTCCAGAACGTTATAAACTTGGAATCCTTCAGTATGTAGCCTTTTAAGACTAGCTTCTGTCACTTAGCAAAAAGGGGTTTAAAGTTCCTCCCTGTCATTTTGTGGCTTATTTGTTCATTTCTTTTTATTGCTGAGTAATATTCTGTTATATAATGTGGCACAGTTTATTTATCCATTCATCTACTGAACGATATCTCAGCTGCTTCCAGTTTTTGGCAATTGCAAGTTTTTGTGTGGACGTAAGTTTTCAACTCATTTGTGTAACTACCTAGGAGTGTGATTATGGTCTCATATGGTAAACCTGTGTTTAGTTTTGTGAGAAACTCCCATACCGTCTTCCCAAGCGACTGGACCATTTTGCCTCCTCACCAGCAGTGAATGAGAGTTCCTGTGGCTCCACATTCTTGCCAGCATTTGCTGCTGTCAGCATTTTGGATACTAGCCATTCCAATAGATTTTTAGCAATATCTCATTTCAATTTCCAATTCCCTAATGACATATGATATTGAGAATCTTTTTATATGCTTTTTTGCTATTCGTAAATCTTCTCTGATGAGGTGTCTGTTCAAATCTTTGCCCAGTTTTTAATTGGGTTGTTTCTTATTGCTCCTATCATATATTATATATATTTAACATTGATTATGTATAACAATGATAATATATGTTATGTAATATATAATGGTATCACATTTTATATGTTACTGTAATGTATTATTATTATTATTGCTATTTCATATTATTAAGTTTTAAGAATTCTTTGCATGGTTTGTTTTTCCAATTAAAATCATTGGCATTCCTCTAGCATGGAGCTCACCTGGACCACTCACTGGCCCTGACTCCACTCAGAGACACTTGCTTTGGGCTCAGAACCCTGCCACCTGGCAAGCCTGCCTCCAGAACCACCTGTCAGAATCCCACCCAGGTGGAATGCCATCTCCTCCAAGAGCCTTCCCTAACTCTCTCAAAGTTCCAGCTCTCTCTCCTGTCTGGGATCTCTAGGATTCATTTTGGATTATTCATATGCTTTTTTTCACCCTGCCTTGTCTGTAGGTAAATGAGTAGCAATTTGACCTCTCTTGTACATTCCTTAGGAACAGGGTTGACCTAATAGTCATTATATTCACTTATCACAGTATCTTAAATACAGTTGTTACACAGAATGTCTCTTGAATCATACAGGGAAATGGAGACTACAGGGAAGGCAAGAAGTTGGAGAGAGAGGCAGGTCAGAGTGTTGTTGGAGTGTCTTGCAGATGTCTCAGACCTTAAAGGAGGTTTTGTGTTCTCAGTAACTGTCCCACCTCATCCCTGTCTTTTAGATGAATGGTAATATTTTTAGTTTAGTTGGCAAGTTTCTGCATGTTACCTAATCTATATAGGCATAAAAGTCAAGCGCAGATTTCTATTTATGCATGAGGTCACCCTTCAGATTGTTGCATCTCCCAAGAAAGGGGTGTCTGCAGAGGTCATTAGTATCGATCAATTAAATTATGAATTTTGGTTGATGTGACTTTTTCCAAAATTTCTAAAATAAAAATGATACACGCATATGTTTTTAAAGAACTCAAATAGCTTAGAAGGCTCTGTTCTATTCCTCTTCGTGCCCATTGGCTCTGGGAAGGAAACATCTTTGCCCACTTGGATTTTGTTCTCCTGGTAGTTATAATTTATCTCTAAATAACTTGCATAGGCATTTGTTTCTTGAATTTTTTCAACCTTAAAAATTGTCTACTAGTTTCCCGCTATAATATCTACATTTATAAAGAATAACTATCAAGTCTTATTTGGGAGGAAAATTTACTTTCTATATTCCTAGGCAGTCCCACAACCCTCTCTGGCCTCTGTTTTATTTAAATGAAGGTAACAAGAGGACGGAAGGAGGCAAAATTTATTTTAAACCTTATTCCTGTAAGAAAACTTCATCATTTAAGGGTATAGTTCTATTGTTGTAGACAAACTCTAATCCACTTTGAGAAAAACCTTTTTTACATCTTTTTTGATATGTTTTACTTGTATAGCTACATTTTCCGGAAATGCACTAAGAAGCTTTTGAAAATGGTGAAGTATCTGGTTTTCTTAAAGTAGTCATTGTAACATAGTTTAAAAGGTCAGTGTACGGGCACCCAGGTGGCTCAGCCAGTTAGGCATCCAGCTCTTGGTTTTGGCTCTGGTCATGATCTCATGGTGAGATCGAGCCCCACGTCAGGCTCCCCACTCAGTGTGGAGTCTGCTTCCCCTCTCCCACTGCCCCTCCTCCCACATGCACACACACTCTCTCTCTCTCAAATAAATAAATCTTTTTTTATAAAAAAAAGTTCAGTGTAACAATGAACTTACAATGTTCTTACAACATTCTATCCCAGAGACAGCAATGAAAGAAATACGATGATTGTAAAATACTCATTTTCCTGGGAAAGGAAAAATACCAAAGAAATATACTAATCTAGTTGATTAAAAGTGTACCCCAAAGAATCTCAGGTCTGTCAGTGCTCTGACCTCTCTCTTTGTTCTGTACAGAATGGATGACGTATTGATTGGGGCACCTCTCTTTATGGAACGTGAATTTGAGAGCAGCCCTAGAGAAGTAGGGCAAGTTTACCTGTATTTGCAAGTGAGCGCGCTTGTCTTCAGGGACCCGCAGATCCTTGCAGGCACCGAGGTTTTCGGGAGATTCGGTAGTGCTGTGGCACACTTAGGAGACCTGAACCAAGATGGTTACAATGGTAATTGACACCAATACATGGAAATTGTTTTTTTGTCAGAATTCATGTTACCGGTACACAAAGGAAACAATGACAAAGTGGTGTGTGTGTTATGGTCACTATTATTGGTTTTTAATAAAGTATCAAAAACCTCAAGGCAGCTTAAAGTTTATATATGCAGCTCTTAATAAAGGCAGCAATTATTTTTTAAGGTGATATTTGGATTTAATGACTCAAAGAAAACTAGAGAACCTTCTGTTATGTACAGAGTCAAGACAAATAAATACATGTCGATAGATGGACAAGTATATTGCCTTGTGATTAACCCACATGGACTATGTATAGGTTATGCTGAATTTTAATTGGTCTGTAAACTTTAGCTTGAGGGCAATTTCAATGTTTGCAGTAAAGTAGTGTTAAATTTTTAGTTTAGGATTATGATTCTTTAAGCTAAGAATTTGTGAATGCCTTGCAAGTACCTTCTCAGAAAAACATGCAAGCTCACACAAAGTTTTGCTTACATGTTCAGGACCTTTAAATTAAGAAGCAAGGTATAGTGGGTTTCTTAAAGTTCAAGGGAATAACAGGAATTTGCTCCAACAAAATAGCCTTGGGAGTGTTTGCATCAGATCAGTATTCATTAGGGCCTTTGGCATTTTTATGTTTTCTTTGAAAAAAAGACATCCCAGAAATGTATGGTTAGTAATTTTTAAAGTGCTATAAAACATAAATGTATATTAAAAGTTCATGGTTCCAGGAAAATAATAAAAAAGAGACAAGTTCATCTTTAACTGATATGCTGCTTTCAGAAACTGCCCTATCCCTGAGCACCAAGCAAAATAAATAATGCTAAATTATCTATCAAGTCATCTTTCCACCATGTTTTCCTCTATTTGTCTTTCTTCTCAAACCCTTCATGATATTTTTGAAAGCTAAGAGAAACATTTTTAATGACATTGAGGGGGTTCTGCCTCTCTGAGCCTCACTGTTTTTGAGTATAAAGTGGGCAAAATAATTCCAAACTGGGAGGAAACACGGGACAGATGCGGACTGACTTAGAGGAGGTGAAGGAAGGGCCCCTTTGCACCTGTCACATGATGATATCTTTAATTTTCACCATGATCTGAGATTTGGGATATCTATCGTTACCTGTTAAATGAAACTGGAATTATTATCCTCATTATGTAGTAAAATCAATTCATGATTTACTTAGTCTTTTCAGACTTACTTACGAGCAAAGAGAAATAAACGACAAAGTGAGGACACATAACCGTCGTCCACTGGCGTGAGCTATTATGTTATTGTGTTCTTGGTGCTCTTTTTTATGTAAAACTCAGTCTTTTTGTGTATTGTTTAGAACAATCCTGAAGAACACAATGTGTGGAAGTTACTCTTCATTGAGTGCTCTATTTAAGTGGGAGTCAGGTGATAGGGTTCTTTCTAGGTTCCCCAATGTCCTCTACTGTAAAATGCATCCTGCCTCCCTCATGGGACAATGTAATCATTACATTATATAATCTTTGTACAAGAGATTGTTTATTTCTTTTGACAAGAAACTCATAAGTACCTTGCAAAGGTGCCTCCTGTTTTGTCCAGCCTAGTGATGTGACCCAGCTCTCCCCGTTGCTCGCTAAATTCCTGTGTAGACCACGCTCTCCCTGCTCCTCCAATGGGCCCAGCTTTTTCAACCTTTAGACCTTGGCACACCAGTTCTTTCTGCCTGGAGTGCTCTTCCCTCTGATTTCACACAGTTGGTTCCATTTTGTCCCCAGCTTTCACTTTCAGCACGAGCCTTAGCAACACCCTGTCCAATCACCGAATCTAGAAATAACCACCATTCTCCATTACATTAATATTTTTGATTCTTCAGCATAGAATGTGTCACTTTCCATCTTTTGTTTTATTTTAGTATGTTCTGTTAATCACCATACATTACATCATTAGTTTTGGATGTAGTGTTCCATGATTCATTGTTTGTGCATAACACCCCGTGCTCCATGCAGAACGTGCCCTCTTTAATACCCATCACCAGGCTAACCCATCCCCCCACCCCTCTCCCCTCTAGAACCCTCAGTTTGTTTCTCAGAGTCCATCGTCTCTCATGGTTCGTCTCCATCTTTTCTTGATTGTCTCTCTATTCAAATTGTCTACTACCTGCACTAGAACATAAACTTTCTAAAAGCAGCATCTGGTTTGCCGTCATACCCACTGCATCCAACACACAGCGGTCACTCAATAAATGTTTGCTGGATGGATAAAAGACAACAAATAATTTATGGTTGCTGCAGTATTACAAAATTTTCCTGGAAAACTGAATGAGCCCTTTGGATTATAGTTTATTGCTCTATGACTGCACTTAATTCTATCTCTAAAACCTGTCCCCATTTGCAGACATTGCCATTGGAGCACCCTTTGCAGGCAAGGATCAAAGAGGCAAAGTGCTCATTTACAACGGGAACGAGGATGGCTTAAACACCAAGCCTTCCCAAACTCTGCAGGGAGTGTGGGCCTCACAGACCATCCCTTCGGGCTTCGGCTTTACTCTAAGAGGAGACTCAGACATAGACAAGAATGATTACCCAGGTAAGGGTTTCTTTCCTCTCCCGCCAGAGAGCCCACTTCCTAGAAAGAAGCCCATTCTCAGGACGGTGCATCACATGTAAGCTTTTCCCTCATAAAGGCGAAGGCCCAGCTTAACCGTGGACGGCCCGGGGCTCTTTTGCATGATTCCTGAGTGACTTTCATGAGCAGTTAAAGGCAGATAAAGGGATGCCTGGGTGGCTCAGTCAGTTAAGCGTCTGCCTTCGGCTCAGGTCACGATCCCATGGTCCTGGGATCGAGCCCCACCTCAGGCTCCCTGCTCGGCGGGCAGCCTGCTTCTCCCTCTCCCTCTGCCCCTTGCCTGCTTGTGCTCTCTGGCTCTATCTCTCTGTCAAATAAATAAATAAATAAAATCTTTAAAAAAATAAAGGCAGATAAAATAACCCCTCCCTTTCCTACCAGGAGACGATGTTAGAAAGGCAAGATGGCTTTTGAAAAGCCACATTGGACATATGACTTGTCGACTTTGCAACCAAAGTTATTTGAAACCCCTCAGTGAGTTGTTCTCCACTGATAAAGACAACTTGCCTCAGAGCGAGCTAGAACAATTTATTTTAACCCTGTCATTCTCTCTCGAGCTCATAGTTCCTGTAAGTTAACTCATGAACTTCAACATTTTAGTCCTAAAGCTCATGTTTTTTGGAGCATAAATATTTTCTTGCCACACTTTGGGGTTTTTTTCAAAATATATTGAATATTTCAAAGTGAAACAGAAAGAACTGGTTCATAATAAAGACTGTAAACTCTTTTTGATTACTTAATTCATATTGAGGTCTCATGGAAATTAGACAATACAGTGAGATAATTCATGTTTTATGTGTGGTGTAGGAAAATACAATTTGTCTTAAAGGATCATTTCAGTAATCCCAGGGGTTTTAGCAGAGAACAGACTTCTTGGTTTTATGGTTCAATTTTCACTTTTATGTTAGTTATTTTAAGCTGGTTTCAATAAACACTTAGAAATCACTAATAGTTAACTGACAGCTTTAAATATTTATTAAAACCTTGTCTCTTTCTACCACCCTTCCCTTAACTGGGTATTTTCCATATGAAGAGTTTTTTTCTGGTTTGGGGCAACATTCCAATAAACTGACGGCCTAGATATACATCACTAATTTCATCCTTCCGCTTTCTCTTCCCCTCTGGGATTAGGCAAAAAGGATACTGCAACATATTCTCAAAAATTTGCCAGAACTCTTTTATGGCACTAACATAGATGTTGTAGTGGCCTCAAAGCAGATTTAGTATTAAATTATATGCAAATACCTTCCACATTTTCAAGAGCATCTAGTTAAGTTTATTTTCTTAGGTTGTATTATACTAGTCCAATCAATGAGGTTAGTGGGATTTTTTTGGGGGGGGGTGTCATTCATAATATATTCTATTCTAAATAATCCTCCCTATGTGATTCCTTTCCAAAATACATTAGGATGATTCGTGAAATTTAACTCTTGGGTTGTAACTTTAGATAAACAGTTATTTTGGAAAATTATTGCCAGTCATTATGCTTGTCATATTCTCACCTTAGTACCAGGGGACTTGACAGACAGGATGGCTGGACCTTCCCCCAGGTAAAGGAGATAAGGGATGTATCGATCACACAGGCAGTTCATCAACTTCTTTTGAAGTCTCCTAAATAAAGACAGGAAGGAGAGAAACATGAAACAACTTTTCTCTCAAGGAATATTCCTTCTGGGGCTGGATGGAGGGTTGAGGGGGTGAGCTGGAGTAGGACAGGGAAGAGAAAAGCTAAAGTAGGTAAATGTTGGTCATTAGTCGCCTCTTACGTAGGTCTTCTTTTATCCCTTCTTAACAATCAGTAAAAAGTCATTTGAGGCCATTCGTTAACTTTATCTACTGAGGCTGATGCAGTTTATACTAACCAATGAAGTTCATGCAGTCTATCCATCTGTCTGTAAAGTGAATGATCTTTACTAAGGCAGGACCAATAATGCCACTGATTGAATTCTTATTCCTCAAGGTTGTCTTGAGGCGTTCAGTGTTCATCTGGACATCTTAATAAACTTGGGTTCCGGTTCCGGTTCTGCCTCTCAAATGGAAATAGAGATGTCTGGTGATTCATGATCCTATAACATTTTCCTTGATCCTCATCTTCTTGCAAAAGAATGCCACTCAAAGAAGGCTCTTTATACTGACACCAAGTCCCCAGGGACCTATGCAGAGGAAAACCACCTGCCGGACGGGTAACTACATTCCATTCACTAGAACGGTGGATTTGAATTCACAGGCATAATTCAGGAACTAGACATGTAACTTTCCTCATTATTCTATTAAAAAATTCCACTTGGCTTGTCTCAAGCCTCCATTTCCATTAAGAGGAAAACCTTAATGTCATAGTCACTTCCAGATTCAGACTTAATCTCAGTTGAGTAAATGTTCATTTAGATTCAGGACGCTCCTTCCTCCCTCTTTCAAGAAATGAGTAGCGTAGGGCATGCCTGTTGTCCTGGGATTGACAGAGGGGCATGCAGCCCAATGTGTCATCTGTTTTTATTAGTTTCTGCCTGGAGAATAACCCAGTCTCTCCTGGTCTTCGATGTGTTGCTCGAGCTTCTGTGGTTAATCCAATGGCCTGTGTAGTGGCCACTGCTCAAAAGTTCCATGTGTCCTGGATCCTCATGCTATTTTGGCCTCTTCCGGTCCACTCTCAGCATGTGCTTCTATGCCATGGTTAGGAGTTAGACACTTGCAGGTTGGGTTTTCAGGTCTCTGAAATTGTTTTTATCCCCCTAGATTATTCCTTTAGCCATTGCTAATTTTCCACCAGGACATTTTATTACTCCAGCCCTAAGGGGTTGCAGTATTCTTAGGTTTTGCCTGGGCAACAGCAGTCTTCCCCCCCCGAAAAGGTTATTGGGTGGCATGCTTTCCAAACTCTATAATTCATTTTATAAACTCTATGTCCTAGTCCCCCATGGTCTGTCTTGTGATTTTTCCAAACCAATTCTTCCCGAAACTTAAAAAAAATTAGTTTTCTTTCTCTCTGGGGTCCTGCTCTTCCAAATCAAAATTGCTTTCAGATTATTGTGCCTCCTAGGAGTTTCAGAATCCATTTAACAAGTTGGCTTTCTTCTAGGATATATCTAGTCATCCTCAGTAAGCAGAGCTTCTCAATCTCGGCTGCACATCAGAATCACCTGGGGAACTTTAAATAATGCACCTGCTCAGGTCACACTCCAAACTCAGAATCAGACTCTCTAAAGTCAGAATCTCTGGGGGGTAGAACCCAGACCAGAGTATCATAGTTAAGTAACCTGAATGATTCCAGTGCACAACCCAGCTGAGAACAAATGATCTAGAACATGTTCCCCCCTTTAATGGACATAGAATTGACTGGGCATCTCATTCGAGCACATATCCTAATTCAGTAGGTCAAGGGAGTGGGAAAGATTCCCCTTTCCAATCAGTTCCCAAGTTTTTTCCCTGCTACTGGGCTCCACATTACACCCTGAGTGGTAAGCTCTGAAGCACTGTGCGTACCGGTCACCCACTGAGCCTATTATCACAGGCTGAATGCATGGCACCCCTTCAGATAGTTTGACTTATGGAGACTGAGATGGGCTGCAAGGATTTATGTTCTTACCCAAAACCCTATTTTGAAAAAGACAGCTCTAGAATCTTTGTGCTCAGTTCCCATGCCTACAGTAGCCGAATGTGCGGTGTTCTCTTTTGGCAAGCACCTGTTAGCTAAGCTCTGGCATTCCATTTATTATTTAGAAGGCTGTCAAACTAGCCCGAGGGGCTTTTCTCCAGGTTGCCTCTGTGTTACTGCCATTGGGATGCTTGGGTACAATATGTGCTCTGGCCCCATCTGGAAAAATTAAGGAAGGCCCATTTAAAATATTTAATTTTTCATGCACCGCTCTACATTTCCTGGAAGTTATCTGTGCATTTAAAATGATGCCTCACTGACTTTCATTTAAAATATATTATCGCATTTGTTAGGAATTAACCTACCTTAACCCGGCTTAAGCCATAAAGGGAGAGATTTGTATTAAAGCTCTAGGAATATCTCAAGGGAACCTAATGACAGGAATTCTGCCAGGCCTCTGGAAGGGACTAACTGGAATCCAAGATTGTCAGGTTAGGACTTCTTTTCTGTCTCTCTCTTACTCCAATCTCTGCTTTTCTTTGCACGTCACTTCTCTCTCCCTCTCTCTCTCTATCTCTCTCTCTCTCTGCCACCCTCCCTCTCTTGCCCATATTTCTTTGAGTACATAGTAGTGTTTCAACTCCAGAGTTTGCATATTGCAGTTTTACTCACTCAAATAGACTATCTACAATTTATCTCAGTCCCAAATCCTAAGGAAAGGAATCTTATAGGCTCTGAGGTAAAGGGTGACATTCTCCAAAGAAAGTAGGAGGTGTTTTGTGGACTGTGCAAGGATCCCAATAAATATCCACTATGATGCCCCGGCAAAACAAAACAAAACAAAATGGCCCTATGAAATAAGAATAGTAGTAAGAAGTGAAGAAAATAATTGAGAAGAAAAATATTTTGTTTTAAAAATTAAAATATTAAAAATGATGATGTGATTGTTCACTGATATTTTTATGTTTATTCCTTTTGCTTCAAAGTCCAAAAGAAAAATAAGAAATTCCTTCATTCGGTCAAAAAATATGTATTCTATTTACTACATACTAGACATTGTGCTGGGGGGACAGTGGCAAGGCATACACAATCACTACCTTCCCAGAGCAGACATTCTAGCTGAGAAAGACAGACAGTTAAATAATTACAACAGAGTGTGAGCATTTTAATACTGAAGTCTTTAAAAGCAAAACTTTTTTTGGAGTATCATAACACCTGAAAAAATTCAAGCATGGTTGCTGAACATTATGCTTATGATTTTTAAAAGTATGTCGTGAGAAAAATATTGTTGGCCTCTGGAAATTTTCTAATTATTTGGTCTTCTAATTATTTGGTCTTCATTAAATCAGCTGAGGAAAATATATAAGCT